AGTTAACGTCTAATGATTTAGTTACATTATGTTTAATTCGAATAACCTGGAGATCGTAATGTTAGTTTGTAGGTAAACATTCAGTAAGCTTAACTTTAATTCGAATAACCTGGAGATCGTAATGTTAGTTTACAAGTAAACATTCAGTAAGCTTAACTTCATTACAAAGCCTAGACAATCTTGATATTAGTTTGAAGGTAAACTTTTAGAAAGCCTATGTTTATTTCCAAAAGCCTAAGCGATCTTATATTAGTTTAAAAATACATTTTCAGTAAGCCTAACTTCACCTCGAATAGCCTGAAGATCGCAATGTTAGTTTACAAGTAAACATTCAGTAAGCTTAACTTCATTAAAAAGCCTAGACAATCTTGATATTAGTTTGAAGGTAAACTTTTAGAAAGCCTATGTTTATTTCCAAAAGTCTAAGCGATCTTATATTAGTTTAAAAATACATTTTCAGTAAGCCTAACTTCACCTCGAATAGCCTGGGAGATTCGTATCCGATGTATACTATTATCTACACCACATTCTCTGGCCATCTGTTCCTCAGACAACAACAGTAAAGTGTCTTTATCCACACCACACTGCAACATAGGATAGGTGTATTGACTCAAATCCAAACCAAGGTCTTGCAGAAGGCGGTTTAAATTGGTAGAATCACAAGAAGAATAATCAGCCATTCGTTTTAAAAGACTCAATTCCCTGAGGAACCTGCGAGAAAAAGATAACGAGGGTTAGCATAAACATGTCTGTTGACTTTGTTATTTCAACAGTGCTTGAACTAACCGATTTACTTCCTTGATAATAACATGAACAAGTAGAACACTTGAACGTAGCAAAGAGATGATCAGGTAATAATGAAGAATACTTCATTAGAGAGTAATTGGTATATAGAAGAACATCCAGAAGACACACGTACAAATAAGTTAGTGTTTTGGAAACTGGCATTTGTGGAACTATAAAAATAAAGTATATTAGTTAATGAGTTACGTGTAGAATTTCCTCTTAGTGGAAACTATTCAATATTCAACTGTCCTACCTCTTCCGGAGGATTCCGTTTTTAATCCCAATATCTTCTTTCAGCATTTCTTCCGTTAGCTGAAGAAGGAGGTCGCCATCCACCCGACTGGTAGCGAACTCGTTACAATACTGAGAAAAGCTAATCTAGAAACAGAGATATAAATAGACCAACTAAATCATTATCTAGGATAATTCAACATAATGTAACTAAATCTTGACGTTAACTATGGTAATTCAACATAATCTAACTAAATCTTGACGTTAACTAGGGTAATTCAACATAATGTAACTAAATCTTGACGTTAACTAGGATAATTCAAGTTAGGCTTACTGAATGTTTACTTGTAAACTAACATTGCGATCTCCAGGTTATTCGAATTAAAGTTAGGCTTACTGAATGTTTACTTGTAAACTAACATTGCGATCTCCAGGTTATTCGAATTAAAGTTAGGCTTACTGAAAGTTTACCTACAAACTAATATGAATGTTAAAGTTGGTTGTTAGTAATTTGTCAGTGGATCAAATTCTCTCCTCGGAAGTAAGTCCTATCGGCTGTAGCTTTGGTTTCCCTAGTGTCAGCTCTGCGAAATAATTAAGTGCAGTTTTCATATAAAAGTCATTTTTAACCACCAGTTGATAGAAGAGATGCCAATGCGGATTTTTTTGGGGAGGGGGCAAATTATTACGGAGGCCTAGTGGTACCTGGAAGCGTATAGATCTTTTAAAGTGAAAATGCGGTAATATGTTGCCTTACATTGGGTTGAACTGTAGCTTTTCAGAACCCCTAGTAGAAGCATAAGAATGATATCTTACTGTCAGATTCTTCTAATTCTTGTTGGGGGGGGGGTGTAATTATCGTCATTTCCCCTACAATTAACGTCCCTTGCTCCCCTCCAAGTTTATCACTAATAGGATTAGGATATGTCAGAGTCAAGTTGTCTGCCTTTCTGTTTGTAGCATATTACTATAAACAGTGATTTTAAAGTCGTTTAGTTCGTGATTTAGCCCGCAGCGATACGTCTCAACACTGATAACGCTAAAAGTTGGGTTTCGGTATCCGTGATGTGTTGAACAACAACAAAATCCCGTCTGTTATAATATTTAGAGATTTGAACTTTTATATATTTGATTCACTTGCTAAGTCAAACCTGTGTTTCCTGAGTTCGAAAGGGACTTTTTGAGAAATAATATGTTTGTCCGAAATTTATCAAGAAACATCGAACTGGCACTTAACTCATAATTTCCACCACAATAACTGTCACGTGACCTAATGTTATTTTCGAAATTCAAAGCTTAACGTAATACATCGTCAGTTTCATGATATTGGAAATTCTAACGAACTATAAGGGTTTTACGTAACGTTTCTTTTCATTTTTAACATCATTTACGTGTTAATATGAGCTAACTGAAAACAGATATAATGTCATTAAACGCGTTCTTTTTTTCATCCAAAGTGACTGTTGTTTTGACTAAAAACTGTTTAAACAGAAGGTTCGTTTAAACAGAAGGTCCGGTTTAAACAGAAAGTCCGGTTTAAAAACTGGAATGAAAAATTCAAATTGTACGGATGTTGAGTACGTTGATATTAAACCGATTTTGGAGCCTCGCCATGTCGTTACAATACACGTCGCCACGTCTGGTCGTGTTCTATCTGACGACCGTGCATCTTGATAATAGCCCTGCAGCGTAGTTTCTATTGCAAAAGGCTTCATCGTAAGGCTGTTAATTCCACGATGCTTTCCATTATATATCTAGTGTAGAACAACGCCCGTTTCAACAGTCCGAACGCACAGATTTCCCATAGCGCTGCGTCCGGCGACTGGAATTCCAATAAACACTATCTGATATCAACTAATCTTGAAATTAGAAGCAGAGCGCCCACATGGAAACATTGACAAGATAAAAGGGGTTACTTTCACAACTGCGATACAAGTGTCTATATAACTAGGGTAACCACGATAAGTTTGGGAAATGTGTTTTTGTTTAATTACCGAGACAAAGCAACATGGCTGAAGAGGGACATCTTGTCCCTGCTTCTGTACAAAGATACTCTACTTTTAAAAACTGGCGTATGTGTCCCTTATCTAAAAAATCTAAAAGTTAACCCGTGTGTCCTCAACCTTTAAAATACAGAAATTGGACTTACTGTCCTCAACCATTAAAATACAGAAATCGGACTTACTGTCCTCAACTTTTAAAATACAGAAATTTGACTTACTGTCCTCAACTTTTAAAATTGGACTTTGTGTGCTCACCCTATAGAGTACAGAAATTGGACTTTGTGTGCCTATAGAGTACAGAAATTGGACTTTGTGTGCTCACCCTATAGAGTACAGAAATTGGACTTTGTGTGCTCAACTCTAAAACCTTCGTCGTTTCTAGGATTTTATTTTTGGTCAAATAAAACGTGATGTATCTAATTACGTGCTAAATTGGAATAACTTCGTCTAAAGAGTGTTTCAAAAGTATTAGCTATGTCACGATGACCAACATATTTAGAGAAGTTTTTAACTCCGTTTCTTCCTCACACGTAAAACTTGACGTTTCCATAGAGAATCTAATAGATGTCTGAGTTTAACGAGGACAAGTAAGTGTCAGGAGCAGGATGTAAAGGATGGCTAGATTGATGTAACATCTGCTGTCTATGTACAGTGTACTTGACTGACGCAGGCCAACACAAGTAAATAATTATTTCCAACTTTTTTTCTTCTTTCTTTTAAACTTGTGGAACTAAAATTGAAGAAAGTTTTTATCTAGTATATTGTGATTGGTCGACGTGAAGTAGCAACTAACGTCTTGTTCTTCACGAACTTTAACCTTTCAATGTACTACACTTAAGAAAATCGTACAAAATTTCGTTTTCTTACATGTCTTTTTTTTTTTGAATATTTGAGAGTCATTTGTGGTTTTCTGGTCCTAAAAATATAATAAACTAAATATAGGGATGGAATGTTTATCAGAAAGTTCAAGATATGACGTCAATTCGGAGGACTTTTGATTTAAATATGATTATATAATAACGTTTCAGTATTTTTAGAGAGAGGCCTGAAGAGAATATTAAATTCATCCTTGAGGAGGGAAAGTTCAATGTGTCATGCAAGTCTTCCCTTAGAAAGTAAAAGTTCGTCTTATTTTAAGAGTAAACCGTGTGTTTAAAAAGGATGTAGCTCTAATTACACGACGTTCAAATTTTCAAGCTGGTTGAAACATTTTTCAGCATTTTAAGCTGTCATAAATGTCAACCTAATAACTTTCTTGCAAGTTTTGTTGGACTGCAAGGGGCTGAATGACGTCATTGTTGCACACAGACCAAAAGTTTTGTAACTTGTTTGTGAATTAATGACCAGAGGGAAGGCAAGCAATCAGCAGCACCCTACCACCCACCATCTACGCTAAGGGACTGGTTGTCACGCTTATAACGTATCCACATCTTCAACTACGGAGAATGCTTTGTTCTATGGCAAGGATTCGAACCCGGCTCACCTGCTATAAAATAAACTTTCAGTAAAGGAATAGAAGCGTTCAGAAACTTTAAAAGATTTTGCCAGATCAATGTCTTATGTAGATTAGACGTACATTAGTTTATAAAATATTGTCAGAGAGAGACTGTTTTTCTTAATTTTATATAAAATGTTTTACTTCTTACCCATGCCTTATTTAAACTTCATTCAAATCCGCGTGTTGAGAACTTCATTGAATCTTTAGGACGTAACAGGAATGTCTCAGGACATCCAGTGTAGCCTCGACTTTAGGACGTAACAGGAATGTCTCAGTATCTCCAGTGTAGCCTCGACTTTAGGACGTAACAGGAATGTCTCAGGACATCCAGTGTAGCCTCGACTTTAGGACGTAACAGGAATGTCGCAGGCTGTCCAGTGTAGCCTCGACTTTAGGACGTAACAGGAATGTCTCAGGCTGTCCAGTGTAGCCTCGACTTTAGGACGTAACAGGAATGTCTCAGGCTCTCCAGTGTAGCCTCGACTTTAGGACTTAACAGGAATGTCTCAGGCTCTCCATTGTAGCCTCGACTTTAGAACTTAACAGGAATGTCTCAGGCTGTCCAGTTTAGCCTCGACTTTAGGACTTAACAGGAATGTCTCAGGCTGTCCAGTGTAGCCTAGACTTTAGGACGTAACAGGAATGTCTCAGGCTGTCCAGTGTAGCCTCGACTTTTGGACGTAACAGAAAAGTCCCTCCATTATAGCCCAGAGTTTTGGACGTAACAGGGACGTCTCAAACCAGGGACAATATAAAATGTTCATGACCTTTGATTCTACCCGTTAATTAACTACCTGTGAAAATACATGATAGCCCTAAGGTTGTTGGGAGAATCATACGTGTGCTTCTAGCAGTCGAGCTATGCTGATTGGGTGTGGCGCGTTTGGGAGAGCGGGGCTGTAAAAAGGGGATGTAAGGGCGTACAACATTTTTTGGTAATGGCCTTGTTTCCTCGTCCTGTTAGGTACGTTGAAAATATTTTCAGTATTTCTACTCTAGGGCATGTGACGGTTGTTTTACGAATATTGTGACATTAGAACAATGTACTGTACACCGACTGGGGAAGAGTTCTCAGGTTAAGTTCATATGTACTGGTAACATTTTATTGTTGTATGCATCTAGATAAGACTCGCAGTACTGAATGTTAACCATTTCTGGATAAGTGAAAATAAAGCAAGAAAAAAATAATAATCGGGATGTTTTTAATCTACAGTGTATTGTACATTCAGTTTAATGAAGTATATCACCACACTTCATTAGTTAACATACATTCAGTAGAATAAGGTATATCACCACACTTCATCAGTTAACATACATTCAGTAGAATAAGGTATATCACCACACTTCATCAGTCAACATACATTCAGTAGAATAAGGTATATCACCACACTTCATCAGTTAACATACATTCAGTACAATAAGGTATATCACCACACTTCATCAGTTAACATACATTCAGTACAATAAGGTATATCACCACACTTCATCAGTTAACATACATTCAGTTTAATAATGTATATCATCACACTTCATCAGTTGCTAACCTTTCACCCAATGTTCTGTGTCTATAAATGTGTATTCTATAAACACACATATTGCTAACCTTTCACCCAATGTTCTGTGTCTACAAATATGTATTCTATAAACACACATATTGCTAACCTGTCAACCAATGTTCTGTGTCTATAAATATGTATTCTATAAACACACATATTGCTAACCTGTCAACCAATGTTCTGTGTCTATAAATATGTATTCTATAAACACACATATTGCTAATCTGTCAACCAATGTTCTGTGTCTATAAATATGTAT